TCCGTCGGGGAACACGTGAAGTGTGCGTGCGTACTGTAGAGCGGGCTTCCGTCGGGGAACATGTGAAGTGCGCGTGCGTACCGCAGCACCGGGCCTCCGTCGGGAACACGTGAAGTGTGTGTTAGTACTGCAGCACACAGCCTCCCTGACGGTGGCCTCCGTTGGGGAACACGTGAAGTGTGTGTGTGTGTACTGCACTTCCCACATGTTCAAGGAGCAGAGGTCTTGTTTGCTTATTTTTGTGTTTTGGTAAAATGAATATTGAGATAGCAGAAGGAACATGAGACTCCAAGAGAAGCATGAGATGGAATGTGTGGGTTGTCTCACCCTGCAAATCCAGGATTTGACTCACATTAGATTCTGATCTGTGATCAGATGTAGAGATCCTTCAGCTTTCCTAGGATCCACCCAGTACCCTCATCACTGTTAAAACACGCGGCAGAACGACGCAGCCGGCGGGTCGTCCTCATCACTGTTAAAACACGCGGCAGAATGACGCAGCCGGCGGGTCGTCCCCATCACTGTTAAAACGCGGCAGAATGACGCAGCCGGCGGGTCGTCCTCACCACTGTTAAAACACGCGGCAGAATGACGCAGCCAGCGGGTCGTTCATCTGACGAATGTTCCATAGGGGGTGCCATGCCCTGGGCACTGTCAGGGAGCTGCAGTTCAGCAGTGAGTAGGACGACAGCAACTCTGCCCTCCTGAACTTGTGTTTCGGCGGGTCAAGTAGACTCTGCACTGGCTGCACAGGTCAACATACGGTCTATCCGAGAGGGTTAAGTTCTAAGGAGAAAAATAAAGACAGTTCTGACAGAGGAGGCCTCACTGTGAGTGAAAACCGGACAGAGATGAGAGAGGGGCCACAAGGAGATGGGAGCTTCTGGAGGAGGGGCCACATGCACACAGGCCTGAGGGGTGGGCACACCTGTGCCTTGGGGAGAAGCGAGGAGACCACAGTGGCCAGCGGGAGGTGAGGTCGGGGCAGCGATGGGTCAGGCCTTGGTTGCCATCATAGTTCTGCTGTAACAGGAGGTACACGTTCCTAAAAGTCTCTACCCTGTGGAAGATTGCCAATAAAAACCAGAGGGCTTAGGAGAAAACGGGGTCAGGTCACAGCACTCGAGAACCTCATCCCACTAAAAACATCTATTGAATATGGCACCTGGAAGAAGACCTGACGCTTGCTGGTGGAAGTGGCCCCAGAAGGCTGCAGCTATGAGCGATTGTGATGAGGTAGAAAGAGGGTTCCCTGGAATCGGAGGGGACGTCGTGACCCAGGTGTGGACGGTGTGGGTAGCAGGATGTGAACTGTGGGGCTGAGAGGTTTGTGGCGTGTGCGTGTGGCCGGGGTTGACCGGGTACTGCTTTCCACATTGACTTGGCGCCTGCCAGTGGCGCGGTCCGGTTCTTTCACTGAAGTTATCGCCAGTCGTGCACTTCCCATCCTTCTGTTTCATGAGCTCCATCTCCATCTTCTGCCGACGTGTGGGAGCCGCTGGCACGGCCAGCAGTGGCAACAGTAATGCCTTGGAGTGCAGTCCCTCGCCAGGCAGAGCAGTGTCTGGAACGGTGCTCAGCCCCACGCAGCCTTTGAGGAGAGCAGTGTGCCACGTGGTGTTCCAGTGCTGAAACCCCTGCAGCTGGTGTATTAGCAATGTTCTGAAGCAGAGGGGTGGCCAGGCTCACTCCAGTGCCTCCCAGCTCTGAGACCCTGACTGCTGGCATGTGGTGGCAGCTGGTTTCTGTGTGAGTCGTTAGTGGAGCCACAGGTGTCCTGGGCTGCATGCTACCGCGTTTTAGCCAGACTGTGAGGTCAGCTTGGACAGGGTGTTCGGGCATAGGCTGTGGCCATTCATCAAAACCTATGTTTCATGTATGTTGGTTTTGAAAGGACCATGTTTGTTTCTTCATGAAGCTGAATTTTTTTTTTTTGAGTATTCGGAAGTGTGTTAATTTAGCTCACTAAAATGTGAACATATTTTTCTTCTCCCTAGATCGAAAAGTATCCTCCTTGCACGCCTCCCGAGTTCAGAGGCAGATGGTGGTCTCCGTTCACGACTTACCCGAGAAGGCCTTTGTGCCCCTGCTGGACAGCAAATACGTCCTCTGTGTGTGGGATATTTGGCAGCCTTCAGGGCCACAGAAGGTTCTGATATGTGAGTCCCAGGTACAGCTCAGGAGGAGAGTCGCGCATTTGATGGGAGGATGGGCGGTGGACAGAGCGTGAAGGTGCAGGCATGGGGAGAGGCGCAGGGACAGGAGGTGGGTAGGAACTTACGGGCCATTCTCTGCCTGTCACAGCTGGCTTCAGCTGTGCTGTGGGTGCAGTGAGACGCGTGGGTGTGCTTGTTTTGACTCTGGAAATTCGTAGTTCAAAATGAGCAAACGAGAATTTTCACAGAGCACCCCTTTAGGTCAGCTGAGAATTAGGAAATGGAGGTAGTTATAGGCTGAATGAAAATACTGGCCACGCTCGGCATAGCTCTGGGGCCCTCGATGCCTGTTTTTCTGTCTTGCACTGTTT